GCCAGACCCCGCTTAGCTATGGATGAACCGTCATGTTTCGTTCCCCAAACTGCAGATAAACCTCTGCTTGGTACCCAACACCTTGTTTGACAAGTTGGCTCGAATGCCTCGTCTCAGAAGTGCTCTGGGATCCTTGATCCTGGAACACCGAGACTTCCAGAAGTCAGCTGGCCAGTTAACGCCCAGAACACACCTCCAACAGGGTGGGTGGTGGGCATCGGGGAGTCTGCCAAAGTGAGTGCTGAGGGCGTTGCGGTTGCCGGCAGCCATTGGCCCCAGTCGAACACACCTACATGATGAGGATAGATCCCAGGCTCAGGTCACTTGCTAGGCCTCAGAACGGCCGCTTCAAAAGAGAGACACCAGACAGCCCGACCATTCTGAATCCTCGACTGCTCGACCTCTCCTTCTCGACGCTAACCCTGTCTCAGAGACCAGTGAGAAGAAAAGAAACAAGTTGAGTGGATCAGCACTCTATGACAACCACGCTTGGCTGCAGGGCAAGGATAGCGGACTGCACAGAAACCGAAAAAGTAGCCTCCATAAAGAAGGGCAGGGATCCCTCTCAGCCGTCGGAAGATTCCCCTTATAAACTCGCAGAATGGCATCCAGATAGAATTCCTTCTCTAATCCGACGATTTTTTTCGTGGTTGGATCGTTACCCTGGTATTCTTAGGACAAACGGACATTGCATGACGGTTGCATTTTGATATTGGAGTTTCCTTGTCGGTTTGGATACTTGCAGCGTCATCTTTGGAGGCATTCGTTGGGGAACCGGTTCGACGCAGCCACTTCATTGCGTAATTCACGCAGATATCGATATTGCCGGTCAGTGGCAGTTTGACGGCGTTGGTCCTTGACGATCCAAAAGACAGCTTGGAGTGGAGTTCTGAGTACACGGTTTGATCAGCCCCATCACCTCGCGCTGCTGAGAGATGTTGACACAACTTGCAGACTCTCTCATACATTGACGACATTCCAAGTGGCGCAAGTGCTCAACACTATCAGCAGTGGTGGTTGATCAACACAAGGCGCAGCGGAACAGGCAGCTGAAGAGTCGCGGATTCGAAGCAGAGACCAAGTTGCCAACTTTGCTCGCAGCAGGTCGTTTAGCACCTACCGAGAATTGCCTTCTGCAACTAGACCCATCCGACGACTTTGGCGAAGTAAGAGCATTGTGAAAGATCGAGAGGTGCTCCTGATTCACTCAGGAGGAGGAAACTGACATTGTCTGTTGGTCATCGTGGCGGCTTGCTCGAGGCGATCATTTCTCCTCGGAAGGTCATTGTGATCTACTTCCCTCTGCTGATATCTTTCCATTTTGGGGAAGAACATCGTCAAGACAAAATAAGTCGGATATCTAGTCAGACCTCGAGTCCAAGGAAGAAGCAGTGAGAAGCAACAGGAAAGGAAACCTTTGCCGCAGTCCATCTCCAAATCACCTTTTCTGGTACGTCCCCTTGCCGTCCCGGCCTCGGGCACCTCTTCAATGCTTCAAGCCGGAAGGAAGGAATGATTGAATTGCAACGATTGAGCTGCCGGGAAGTTGCTAACCTTGGAAAGCAGGACGGAACTTCTACTGGTGCTGGCAGCTGATCCCCACCGGGCCTTTCCCCGGACCAAACTGACAGTGCCACCCCTTTGCCCCGCCGGGTGCCCTCACCTTCTCTGCTTACATCGTCACTCGTCTTGTTCTTCCTCTCTCTTCGTCTCAACCATATCTTCTCTTTCCCACACCCAGATTCCATTCATCCTCTCCTTCCATCTTCCATTGTGCCAATAAATCTGAGCTGCAAAGGAAGGCAAAGGAACGCAAAGCATCCTTAGGTACGTCTCATCATCTGCTCGCCCTTTATCTTCTCCCAATGACTGCCCGCTCTCCTCCATCTTCTCTCTTTTCTCTCGACCACAGCATCACCACCACACTTCTTCAGCCCACCACACAGTCTCTTTGACTCCGATTGCTCCCGATAGCTTGTTCCATCTTTTTACTGATCACTCGCTTCTTCACAGAGTCTTTGGTAACAACATTTGCCATTGTTGACGTTGTTGGAGCGTGCGTCTTGTTCCAAGCCTCTGTTGACAAAGGTAAGTTTCGACTTCACCGCCGCCCTCTACCCAAACTTTGCCGTCTTTATCGTCTTTGGTAGCGTCATCTTCTACCTTGACCAACACGGTCACCTGTTGGCTGTGGAGCCTTCTCGTCCCAAGACCCAACTTTGTGGGAGATCATCCCGATCTTCCAGACTTCCTCTCCATTTCCCTCTGCTCTGCGAGCCTGTCTACGTTCAGGAGTCTTACCGCAACCGCTCATTGCAAACCGTCATATGCCCAAACTTCGTTGGCTGACCTTGGCGCAGTTCCCACTCCCAGAAACCCCGCTTCGGCGCCTCTTTTCAACTCTTGGAACCAATTGACATCGTTCCTGTAAGTGCAATATCGCGCCCGCCCAGAACGCGAACATGTCAACCACCCAGGGTAGACATCGCCCTTCTGTCTGGTGGCTTTCTACGTGACAGAAGCAAATTATTGGGCGTCCTGCTGACTGGGTTATGTTCCAGACCTCGGACTTGACTATGTCTTATCAGACTCACGCCATGGATCCCAAGCATTCAGTCGCCTATGCTGGAGCTGGCAATCATGCCAGCCAGTTCCCTGAGAACCAGATTCCCAACATGATGGGCAGTGTCGACGCTTTGAATGGCGCCATCGGTCAGTTCCAAGGCATGACACTGGGTAACAGCATGTCCCACAACGTCAGCGCCATGGGCCAGATGGCTACTGGCCACCCTTACATGATTCCCCAGGACTACATTTTGGCTCCTCATCTGCCTACTGCCTTGGGAATGGATCACCTGTCTCAGGGTCCGTACGGCCCGGGTGGCTACTTGGCCGCACCTGGACAGTTCAGTCCCTACGTTCCCTACCCCATGATGCCCTTCACCCCCGGCCGCGCTGTAAGTGGGAACTCGGCTCTCCAGGACCGCACCAACCGCGGCCACAACGATGTGCCAGGTCTTGAGAACCGCCGTCACAGCGGTGGCTCTTACACCACCACCGAGTCTGCTCCTACGACTCCTTTCTACAGCGGCGCCGGCAAGAATGACAAGGGCCCTCGCGTTGCTGCGCTTGACCGTTCAACCTACACCACTCCCTCTCCCCAGCAGCTTGTCGGTGGCAACATCTTTGTTGAACCTGCTGCCAAGCACAGCATCATCACTATTCCCGTCGACCGCAACTTGGAGGAGATCCTCAAGCAGGATCCTCCCGTACCCAAGGCCGTTCCTGCCGTCTTCACCCCTGCCACCCAGATGAAGACTCTGGATCAGAGTTTGGAGAATAGGATCCCGGGCAACCGCAATGTTTACATTCGCGGTCTTCATCCGACCACTGATGACGAGCTCTTGTACCGCTTTGCTTCCCGCTTTGGCGAGGTGGAGACCTCCAAAGCCATCATTGACACGTCCACGGGTGCTTGCAAAGGGTATGCTGGGTCGGCTGTATCTATTCTCCTTCCTCCGCTGATAACAAAGCAGGTTTGGCTTTGCCAAGTTCTTCGACGTTCGCGATTCGGAGATGTGCATCCGAGGCTTTCATCGTCTCGGATACGAGGTCGGCTTCGCTCGTGTACGTTCTGATCTACAACTGTCTAGTGTCCAGCATCTGGTCTCTGACGTGTGATGCAGGAATCTTTCAACTCTCGCCTCAAGGCCGAGGGCGACGAGGGCTCTACCAATCTGTACATCTCCAACCTTCCAAAGAGCTTGACCGAGAACGTGAGTTCGCGCTGACCGTCTTCTGGGCCATTATTGTCCCTGTTACTGACACTTCCAGGACCTTGGCGATATCTTCAGGGGCTACCACATCATGTCGTCCAAGATCCTGCGTGACAGCATGGGCAATAGCCGCGGCGTTGGCTTCGCTCGGTATGTGACTTCTTAACCACTCCCAGCAGCTGTGTCCTAATTGAGCCAGTTTCGAATCCCGCGATGTTTGCGATGCCGTCATTAAGCAGTTCAACGGCATTCCCATCGGCGAGGAAGGCATGGTGATGAACATTCGCTATGCCGATACTGCTGGTCAGAAGGAGCTCAAGCGGGTCACCGCTGAGCGTCGCCAATTCCGCACCAATGAGTATAATATTGGTGCCTATGGTACTCCTCTTGTTGGCATTCAGCCCAACATGTACAACCAGCCGGCCTGGAAGCGTGCTCTGCAGTCCACAGCCAACAGGTGAGCACTCCATCACACGAGTCATCTCTAAGCTCAATTGCTAACCATCTAAAGCAGCTACGCCCCTCGTTCCATGACCGTCGGTCTTGATCGAATGGGCAAGGGGGTCAAGTCTGATGACTACCAGGCGGGCACTGTTCAGGGAAATACCCAGTACGGTGACCATTCTCGTCATTGGAGCATTCTTCTTGACTAACCTGCTTGTTCAGATCATCCGCAGAGACCACCGTCGCCGAAACCTTGTCCGACGACGACGAAGGCGTGACTATCCATGCAGACTCGGCCACGCCCGTCATCGTCAGCACTCAGTCGTCTCCTATTTCAAAGAAGGAGAAAAAGTGAGTTTGAGTTGTGAGGGGCGTTAGCGTATTTTCCGTGTGCATCATTCCTTGCTTTGTCTCGCAGATTTCGGGGCTTTTGCGTCACAGCACACATGGCAGTATGGTTTTGATCAGGGGACATATTATGCTCTGAGGTAGCTCATACTCTTGATGCAATCCGTATGCATGGCGCCAGCTTTTAGTTCTTCTTGTACCTTAGTTTTTGGAAGGCAGATAAGAACCGGGACGGCGTATCAATTTTCTTTTTGCCACAGAATCATGCAATCACAAATTGCACTATGCTCAATTCTCAGAAGAAGAAAAAAGGTTCCCAATCATAGGACCAATGGACGAAGAACTATGCTTGTGAGAATTGTTTGCGCGTCAGCAAGAAATGAAGAAGATTTTTGGAACTAGTGAAGGAGTTTATTTTGATTCTTCATTAGCTCAGGTCTCGTCTGCCATCGTCAACTTCGAGAATTTTTGGGTATCAAGTCCATCCTTTGCTTTTTCACCTGCCAGAGCTTCTTCGCCATCTCTGCTTGCAGGTGGCACGCTTCGATCTTCAACGTCTGTCACCTCGTCACCTGACTCTTCCTCCTCGTCCTCGTCTTCTTCTGAACCATATTCCTCATCGTTGTCGTCCAGTAAATCACCGCCTTCGTCATTCTTGGAAGCAGCCTGCTCCTGAATGGCCTTTTCCAGATCCTTGGCCATCTTCTTCGTAAAACCAGATGCTGTCAAGGTCGCATCTATCCTAGTGGCACCACCCTTGCCAACCAACTTCTTTGCGTCCTTGTAGAAAGGCCCTGGCGTTGTGCTCGTAAATTTGAACCTCTTTTCGAAAAAGCGCTTGATGCAGTTGACGTCTCTGTCAAAATACATCTCTGCGTTCTCGTGGTCCATGGACACCATCTGCGGAAAGTCGATAACGATTGGTATTAACTTAATGGTCTCTTCATCTCCTTCCTCCGTTTTAATGACGGAAACTTCTTCCTTGATGAGAATATTGAACTCGTTGTAATCGCCGTGGATAAGTCCATGCTTAGCCAAGCGGAGCAACAGATCAATCAGCTCGGAGTAGAGAAGCGCGGGATCTGGGACATCGGAGATTTGGCGGAGAGGGAAAGAATCGATGAAGGACATGACAATGGTGTGTCGGTTCTGAGCGATGGGAACGGGCACCGGGAATCCTTCCTCCTTAAGCGCCTTCATGAAAGCAAACTCTTTCATCGCTGCGAGCCTTGAAAGGTACATCCAAGATCCCGACTGCTTGTTCTTGAGGTAGTCTCGGTTCGACTTGACCGTCCGGAAAGAAATTCGGCCGAGTCTATGGATCTTAAGGATGCACTGCACGCCTCGGTCGTCGGCAACCATCACAATATCGCTCTCCTTTCCAACACCGACTCTGCTGCCGACGCTGTATACCTCCTTGCGAGTCGAGTACGTGTGCATCGCGAGATAGTCGAGGCCGCCATAGGTGAGTCGATAACCATCATACTTGGCCTCCTTGACCTTGGCGATGAGGCCGACCTTGGCGAGGTTGGAGATGGAACGGTGCACGCCGCTTGCGCCGCCACGAAGGCGCGACAGTTTCTCGATCAACGACGTTGGGACCAGCTCGTGGTTCTTGGTGCCTTGTTCAACCTGGGGATCCTGTAAGTGGGCTGCCTGGAGGGGTGAGGGAGGGGTATGGTGAGAGTGACGAACTGCTGCGAGGACCTTCCAGTCCTCGGCGGCCAAGTGCCGCAGTGCCTTGGTATCTAAATGCATTTGGCCAGTTCTGCGAATGCAACTGAAGGTATTGGTGAGATCAGTCTTGAGTTGAAATCTTTCCTTTGGAGATCTCAAGGTACTGGCTGTTGAGCCCAATCAACCCCTCCATTGGAAAAAAAGCAGCCAGGGTTTGGATGTGCGCTATCGATAAAGTTGATAAGATAAGCTCGACCGGGGACGGGGTCGTTGACTCCGATGGTCACGTGGTAGGCTGAACACTCCCAAGATGTGTCTGTGCGGCAGGCAGGCCAGGCTCGTACGCAACCGGGGAGCTTCGACTTGCTGCTTAGCTTTACAAAGCTACCACTACCTTCCATCTCCCTCACGAACCCCAACCGCCCGCCACCATACCCTCCTCTTAACCGCATACCATTGATGCGACATCCATTACTCAACGAACCGAACAGATAACCGCGCCGATTCTTGACTCAAGTCCTGAGGACGTACAATCCCCGTAAAGAGTCCACAAACACACGTCAAGATGGCGCAGGACAGCGAGAAGCCTACCGCTGCCGACAAGGGCAAGGGAAAGGCCGTGGAGGACAGCAAGAAGGAGAAGTCTCAAGTCAACGGCAAGAAGGAGGATGAGAAGATTGTCGATTGTGAGCGACATGGGCTATCTCATGGAATTGATGAGGGGCTAACTATTTGCAGCTGCGGAGGAGCTTAGCGAAGAGGACCAACAGCTGAAGAACGAGTTGGATATGCTTGTCGAGCGCCTCACGGTACGTTGCGTATCAATTCAATTTTAGCACCGTGTATAGAACACTGACGTTGCTCCCAGGAGTCCGATGCCTCTCTCTACAAGCCGGCCCTTGAGGCCATGAAGAACTTCATCAAGACATCAACCTCTTCAATGACGGCCGTGCCTAAACCGCTCAAGTTCCTCAGACCACACTACGAGACCATGACAAAACTATTCGAGGATTGGCTGACGGGCGACAACAAAACGTCACTCGCAGACGTTTTGTCAGTGATTGGTATGACGTATTCTGACGAGGACCGACAAGACACTCTCAAGTATCGCCTGCTTGCACCGTCATCCGATATTGGATCGTGGGGCCACGAATACACTCGGCATCTGGCTTTGGAGATCGGCGAGGTGTACGGAAAGAGGATAAACGCCGACGAGCCGACGAAGGACCTGGTTGATCTTGCCTTGATTCTCGTCCCGCTCTTCCTGCAGAGCAATGCCGAGGCTGACGCGGTGGATCTGATGAGCGAGCTCGAAATCATCGACCAGATCCCCAATCACCTCGACAAGGACACTTATGGCCGCGTGTGCCTGTATATGGTCAGCATGGTCAACTTGCTGACGTACCCCGACAATGAGCTTTTCCTCAAGACCGCCCATGACATCTACCTCGCATACAAGGAGTACGCCCTGGCAATGACCCTGGCCATTCGCCTCAATGATGTCGACCTCATCAAGGCCGACTTCGAGAAGGCCGAAGACCCCGCGTTGAAGAAGCAGCTCGCCTTCCTCATTGCGCGGCAGCGCATCGTCTTGGACCTCCCCGCGGAGGATGCAGATTCCCAGGCGGTCGTGGAGTGCCTGTCGAACCTTAAGCTGTCCGACCACTTCAAGTCCCTGGGCAAGGAGCTCAACATTCTGGACCCCAAGACCACAGAGGATATCTACAAGAGCCACCTCGAAAGCAGTCGCGTTGCAGGCATGACCAATCTCGATTCTGCCCGTCACAACCTGGCTGCCGCTTTCGTCAACGCCTTCGTGAACGCCGGCTTCGGTAACGACAAGATGATGCTGGTCGAGCAGGATAAGGAAAGCTGGGTATGGAAGACCAAGGGCGATGGAATGATGTCGACTGTGGCCTCCCTGGGTACTCTGCTGTTGTGGGATGTTGAAGCTGGTTTGGACAAGATTGACAAGTACACTTATGCAGCGGAGCCTGAGATCTTGGCTGGCTCGATGCTTGCTATTGGTATCATGAACTCCGGAGCTCGTGTTGACTCTGAGCCGGCCTTGGCTCTGTTGGGAGACGAGGACAAGCTGCACCACAAGAACCCTCTTGTCCGAACTGCCAGCATCATGGGCTTGGGTCTCTCCTACGCCGGCTCAAACAACGAGCTCCTCCTGGAGCTCCTGCTACCCATCATCACTGATTCCTCCCAGGAGATGCAAATTTCCGCCATGGCTGCCTTGTCTTGCGGTCTGATCTTTGTCGGCTCCTCCAACCCCGAAATCAGCGAGGCTATCGTTACGACACTGCTCGATGACGACCGCAAGAATCAGCTCACAGACAAGTGGACTCGCTTCCTGGCACTTGGTCTCGGCTTGCTCTTCTTTGGCCGTCAAGAAGAGGTTGACGTCATCCTTGAGACACTCAAGGCTGTTGACCACCCGATGGCGAAGCCGACGGCTGTGCTGGCCGAGATCTGTGCTTGGGCAGGCACCGGTGCCGTTTTGAAGATTCAAGAGTTGTTGCACATCTGTAACGAGCACATTGAGGATTCTGATGAGAAGAAGGGTGACGAGCTTCTCCAGTCATATGCAGTGATTGGTATCGCGCTCGTCGCCATGGGAGAAGAAGTCGGTCAGGAGATGGTCCTTCGGCAGTTTGGCCACCTAATGCACTACGGCGAGCCCAACATCAGGAGAGCAGTCCCTCTGGCCATGGGTTTGATCAGTCCCAGCAACCCCCAGATGAAGGTCTACGACACACTTTCGAGATACTCTCACGATAACGACAACGATGTGGCTATCAATGCGATTTTCGCCATGGGTCTTTTGGGTGCGGGCACGAACAACGCCCGACTGGCCCAGCTGCTGAGACAATTGGCCAGCTTCTACCACCGTGACCAGGAGTCTCTCTTCATGGTGCGCATCGCCCAGGGCCTTCTGCACATGGGCAAGGGAACCATGTCAGTCAACCCCTTCCACACGGACCGCAACGTTCTCTCGCGCGTGTCCACGGGTGGTTTGCTGGCGGTGCTGGTCGCCATGATCGATGCCAAGTCGTTTATCACGTCTAACTCACACTACCTGCTCTACTTCTTGGTGACAGCAATGCACCCCCGGTTCTTGGTGACGTTGGATGAGGACCTGAAGCCGTTGAAGGTCAACGTCCGCGTTGGTCAGGCAGTAGATGTTGTCGGCCAGGCGGGTCGGCCCAAGACTATCACCGGGTGGCAAACACAGAGCACGCCGGTCGTTCTGGCGTACGGGGAGCGTGCGGAGCTCGAGGACGAGCAGTACATCAGCTTGAACAGCACACTAGAGGGACTGGTGATTCTCAAGAAGGTACGTTGACACACGACTGCAAGGTGAAGGAAGGCGATGCTAACTGATGACAGAACCCTGATTGGGTGGAGGAGAAATAGATGATTTCAGGGTGTTACGGGGACCTGGGATCGTAGGTTCAGGCTTGGGACTGGGACACGATACACTGTATAGTAATCTTATGTCTGTGAGTGGCATTCGGAACGTCATCAGACAGATGAGATCCCACATGAATAGACGGATCAGCTACTGCAATGAAGAAGCATTTTAACGTTTAGACATTTGAGGCAGTGACACATCCAGATATGTGTATGCATTGTGCTGCTCCTAGTCCAGCCTCAATTTGGTGATGTCTGCTCATGGAGCTGCGGCGGGTGAGTTGAATCTGACCTCGGTCAAGCGAGGGACGGCTGATTGAGGAGTGGGCATGTGTTGATGCTGACCAAACGACTCCGCTTGCCTCATGCAGCAATTTTTCCCGGCATGAACCAATAGCCGTCGGCTGCGTGATATCTGGATTCCAGCGATCCGAGACACGATGAGATGATATCTTTATGTCCTCAGCACTGATCCGACTAGAGCCACCCTACTAGACATTGAGACATTGCGCATGCGATACGTGTGTTTACTTTTCGTCTAAACGAAAGAGACGTCTTGCTTGTACGTAATACACGTCACGCTTGGTCAATGGCGGGATATTGCCTGTAAAGCGATACGGGCACAGGACGGGGAAGTGGACGGGATTGTCGTTCGGGACGGGATATATAGGGGACAGGTGCATGGGTGTGTTGAAGAGACGGGTCCAAGAGCTAAGCCAGGCTGAGTAGAGCTGACCGCGCTGTAACCCTGCCGATACCTTGGGTACAGGACAGGTATGCACAAGGAAATCAAGGACGGGGAGACGAGGATAGGAGGGGCAACCGCTAGCGCTGGTGGAGGCTAGGGGACGATGGAAGTGGGGGATGGGAATGGGACGCGGGAGGAGAAGAAAAAAAACGGATGTTGTGGTTCTGGCCTTGGTTGGGAGGGATATCAGTGCGCTGAAAACGGGCGGAGATGTTGGAGAGGCTTTGGACGCGACGGTAAGTAGAGACACAAGAATGGCAATGCCAGCGATGTGAAGAGATTAGGGGCCATGAACTTTGGATGCGCTGGTAAGGTAGGTTACACGATACGATTGCGTGTGTTGTATTGGGGTCCGTTGGTTGGATGGGAGCCTCTCTATCCGTAGCCGATGGAGAGATCCCGGGGTCCCGGTCACGACGGCGGAGCCCGGGGATGGGGCGGCCGCCGCCCCCTTCGGCAGGATGCGTCGCTTCTGGACTCGTCTCTGTGTCGTGTCTCTCTTCTTATCAGTTCCGGGATTGGTTGTGTGCTGGGCCTCTGCATGAGCGTTGATGGCAGAACCAAAGATGGGGGAGTTGGAAGCAGCTTCGACCTAGGTACTACGTAACCGGCGGGGAAACCGCCAAAATTCGAAAGTTGGTTGGATTTGCAAGAGGATGTGGGATGCCAAGCCGTGAAAGGCAAAGATGCTACGGGATTCCGTGGTGTGTCATTGGCCGAGTAAGTCAGGCGATTGGCGGCGTCGTTGGCTTGCAACGTGCGGATGTGGGATGAACGATTGAAAGAGGCGTCTTGTTTCTGGTGGTGCGGCTGCTAGGCACCTAGGCACCTTAGCACCTTAGCACCTCGGCACGTTAAGGTAAGGTAGCTGAGATAGTGAGATGGCATGGCAAATGGCAACGGGGATGCAATTGGAAACCTAAGGTAAGGTAGGCAAGTGCAAGGTGCCACTGCCATGCGAGGTGGTGGATCGCGCCATTACTGGGTGGATATCAGGCGAATCTAGCCGCTTCGCGCTTCGCGGGCAACAACGGGGAGACCCTGGAAGTGGAAAGCAACAACGAGACTTGTCCGTACTTTGTTCTCTATCTCTCCTGTCTCTTTTCGATCCATGCTTCTTTTCCATGCGCTAGGCCTTCCCTGGCACCCAAGATGGTCTTATTCCCCAGCTTTTGCCTTGGGAACTGAGGTGCTCAGCGCAGCGCAGCAAAGACGCGGGTGACGCTTCCGACTTCCTATCTATCTTCTTAGTCTTCCTCGTCACCCCTCCATTGTCAACGCCCTCCTCTGCTATTTCCCGTCATTTATTTATATTTTTTTCTTCTCGCCGAACTTTCTCCTATCTGCATGCTCTTCCTTTTTTCTTACTTGAAAAGGTTACCATCAGGCGAAGGAAACGATACTACGAAAAGACCATCCGACCCTTGGCACTTGCTCCCACGTTAAAAACTGCGTTGGTGCCCACCTCTTCAGCACTTGGCACATCTTTCCTGGAGAGCATATTGGGGAGCGCAAATCGGACGTTGGAGTTTCGGAGGCGCGTGAAGCCGCCCAGTGTACACCGACACCGGCCCAAGCAACCTTTGTCGCCTACGACTGCGCAACACCGTCTTACCTGAGATTCGCGGTTCGAAGCACCAAGACACGTGCAGATTCTTGGTTGGAGTCACCGGCGGATTGCGCAACTTGCATTAAAATCGAGGCGAGCGGACGACGTTATAGTGCCTCGGAAAAGTGGGTGTGACTGGGCTCCCTCATCTTTTGCACCTATTCCCGAAAGTCGGTCAGCAACAACTGCACCATGGGCGACGACCGCAGCATCCCCATCAAGGCTTCTTCAAGCCGCGACTTTGTCGCCCAGCTCAGCTCATCATTCATGACGGGAACGCCACCCGCCCAAGAGCTCCTGGCAAGAGATTTGGCTGAATGCTCAGAGGAGGAATACGTCGACGACAATGAGGATGCCATCGGTTCCGCCTCCGAGGACGATTCCGAGGAAGGTCCTCTCTTTTACCGACGACCGAGCGGTGTCGCATTCGGCACCTCCCGCCCGGTCATGAACCCGCAACCGATATACGCAGTCGAAGAACCACCAATCCTTACCAGAGTCGAGAAGAAGCAGTCGCGCGATGCCGAGCGGAGTCTGTTACGTGATAATCATCTTTTGCCTCCCAAGCATGCGCGAGAAGAAAACGAGCCATTCTATCGTCGCGCCTACAGACGCCTGTTCAGCACAAAGATCCCACTCGAGCCTCATGATGAAGAGGCGCCGCAGGTCGTCAATCGTCGACCGACCGAGTCGACCCCTTTGTTGTCCGCCACTAGCCCGGCCCCAGATGCTGACGGCCACGAGAACCTCAATGAGCAGTGGGAAGCGGCAGTCTCAACGGGCCAGCTTCGCACTACGTGGCAGCGCGAGGCCAAGACCATCATCCAGTATGCCAGCCCGCTCATTGTCACCTTCATGTTGCAGTACTCGGTCAACGTCGTCTCCATCTTCGCCGTAGGACGCATCGGCAGGATGGAACTCGGCGCCGTGAGCCTCGCAACCATGACGGCCACCATCACCGTCTACGCGCCCTTCCAGGGACTCGCGACGAGTCTCGATACCCTTTGTGCGCAGGCGTACGGCTCCGGACACCGCCATCTAGTCGGACTACAGTTCCAGCGCATGACATATTTTCTGCTCATGTGCTTCGTTCCGCTGGCGGTGCTGTGGTTCTTCAGTGAATCGGTATTGCGGCTCATGATCCCGGAACCCGAGTCGGCGCGGCTGGCCGGCATTTACCTACGCATGCTGATTCTGAGCGGACCGGCTTTCGTCTGCTTCGAGGGCGGCAAGCGGTTCGTGCAGGCGCAGGGTCTGTTTCAAGCTACCACCTGGGTTCTCTTGGTCGCTGCGCCCATCAACATCCTGTTGAATTGGCTATTTGTCTGGAGGTTGGGATGGGGTTTCATCGGAGCTCCTGCTGCGGTTGTCTGCACCCAGAACCTGCTTCCACTGTTGCTTTTTCTCTACGTGCGCTTCATCGACGGATACCAATGCTGGGGCGGTTTCAGCAAACGAGCTCTGTCAAACTGGGGCCCGATGCTTCGCTTGGCGCTGCCGGGCATGATCATGATAGAGGCCGAGTACATGGCCTTTGAGGTCCTGACGCTGTTCTCGAGCCAGTTTGGGCCGTCGTACCTGGCAGCCCAGAGTGTCGTGGTCACGCTGTGTGCCATCACCTACCAGATCCCGTTCCCCGTCAGCATTGCGGCGTCCACCCGAATTGCCAACCTCATCGGTGCCGGGCTAGTGGATGCGGCAAAGATTACCGGCGGAGTGGTAAGTTTAGCTCCCCCTCCATTACACGCCCTAGGGACACCTGGTTTCGAAATAAATGTTCTAAATGGTTCGATAGGCATTCGCTGCAGCTCTGATTGTGGGCGTGTTCAACGTCATTCTGTTTGGCAGCTTAAGGTTCCACCTGCCACGACTTTTTACCAACGACGAGGAGGTCATTGCCATTGTGGCTGACGTGCTTCCGCTGTGCGCGCTGATGCAGGTCTTTGACGGCCTGTCCGCGGGAGCCCACGGTTTGCTTCGCGGCATCGGTCGTCCTTCCATTGGCGGCTATGCGAACTTGACGGTGTACTACCTCATTGCGATACCCATATCGTTCGGGACCGCGTTTGGTCTTGGATGGAAGCTCAAGGGGCTATGGCTGGGTGTTACAATTGGACTTGCCTTGTAAGTCTATCTTTCTCCCATTTTGTGTTCTGTTTTCCTTCTCCCCACCCCCCTGGCTTCTGGATAGTTTCTGTTCGATTTCCCGAACATGAGATAAATGACGAACAGTGTGAGCGTAAAAGACCTTGGCTGACTCGCGTTACAGGGTGGCCATTATCGAGTATGCTTTTGTGTACTTGACGGACTGGCACAAGGCGGCCAAAGAGGCGGAGACGAGGAACCAGGCCGAGTGAAACGTCTCGGGTAAGGGGTCGTTTACGGCTTTGATTCCCCAGAATCGGCCAGCGAGGTCGTGAAAATTGATTGGCTACGAAGTTGTGATTTCATGATTGACTATTGGAGATGAATGTTGATTACCATTGTTGCATATAATGCCGCCGAATTATGGGCTTGGTAATGTTTAGCAAGCGAGCGAGCGAGCGAGGCAAAGCAATAGCATTGAGATATAATGAACAGAGCGAGAGAAGGAAGAGAGAAGAAACGAGACAACACGAATGCGACTTGGCCGTCACATCGTCCAAACAGTGTGAACCTCGCTGGATGTGCCCAAGTCAGGCAAGCTGGTGCATCCGGCCGATGCCTTGCCTAGGGTATACCCTGGGTATGATCCTGTGACGTCTGTGGGAATTGTGCGCTCAGATACTGAGGGACGTCCGTGTTCTCGCGGCAGCGATATGTGCGTTAGTGTTGCCCTGTCAAACTGGAAACCTCGAAACGTTCCTTTGCCGGCGGCGAGGACAATCATGCTTGGGGTCCAATCGGAGTGGAGATGGTATCGTGCCAGACATGTTCTTCGATGGAAATTTGGGGCGCCTCGTGTGCAGTGGTCGGTCTAAAGAGAAACTCAGATGTAAGCTCCTTGGGATAAAGGAAAATTTTCAACCCTTCACTCCTTACCAGGTCAACAATATGAAACATTGTTCCCTTTCCCCTCATTAAGCTCCAGCTCTACCTACCGTATTGGGCGAAGTTTTGCGTTGCGGTGCCAATGCGGAGGCTCCATCATCTATCGCCTGTCAGGGACTGTCTTGTGGGCTGGGCGACGACGCCGAGTACCAAACCCCCCAAAATACAGGCGAAGATGCGGGAGATTGGCAAGTTGGGTCACCACAGCAAACCAGTGACAAACAACATTGATAGTCGGCTCTTGCTACTGGATCAGAAGGAAGTGAAGTGAATTGAATTGATTCTGGGTGGCCCTGGCCCTCTGCAACAGGGGAACGAATGGCGGGTGCAGGGGTGTGAGGGGCACATTTTCGACTTAGGTTACCTCGTCAGTTTCCCTTCCCGCCTTGGAGGGTGGAGGGGAAGGGACCCCTCCTTTCCTGCGAATCGCTACATAGGTACCAATTTCTTGTCCTTGCACAACCTCTCTTTCCCTCTCTCTCTGTTTGCCTCTCTCGTACGCTCGCAACTTCAGACGGGGGAAGTTTCGAACACTCACTCTCTCCCTCACACCTTTGCGCAATTTATAAGAAGAGCGGTATGTATCGCCCCTCCCTGATGCGCACGCGCGAGCAAGCTTTCTATCTACCTAGCTATAGCTACCTACCTAGCTATCTCCAGCGCCCACGCCCAAAAGGGGAAAAAGTTTCGAAATTGGAGAGACTGACGCACCCTCAGCACACGCGACACACGCGACATACGAGGACGAGAACACTACCACTGCAATCGAACAAAATGTCTGCTACCACGACGACGACCAACGAGGCCATTACGGCCGAGTCAATCCTGCGCCTTTTCCCAGATATCGACACCAGCACCGAGGCTCTCTCCGGCCACGATGCCGAGCAAATTCGGCTCATGGACGAGGTCTGCATCGTGCTCGACGAGAATGACAAGCCTATTGGCAACGCCAGCAAGAAGGCCTGTGAGTGTGTTCTCTCTTGCCGTTCTCGTTTGATATGCTCGTCTAGCGCTTTAACCCCCCTCTTTCCCCCTTTATGTCGTTGCGATGACCAACCAAGCGCTACCACTGCTTGACTGCGAAAGAGAGAGACATCGCAGTAAGAAGGAAGAGGCGAGAATAAGAGAACAAGCAGTTGACTGACACGGAACCCCCAAATACAGGCCACCTCATGACCAACATTGACAAGGGCCTCCTCCACCGCGCCTTTTCCGTCTTCCTCTTCGACCCGGACTCCAACCGCCTGCTCCTGCAGCAGCGCGCCACGGAGAAGATCACCTTCCCCGACATGTGGACCAACACGTGCTGCTCCCACCCGCTGGGTATCCCCGGCGAGACGGGCGCGAACCTCGAGGACTCGGTGGCCGGCGTCAAGCGCGCCGCGCAGAGGAAGTTGGAGCACGAGCTCGGCATCGACCCCAAGCAGGTGCCCTTTGACGATTTCCACTTTTTGACGAGGATCCATTACAAGGCGCCTAGCGATGGCAAGTGGGGAGAGCACGAGAGTATGTTTCCCTCATTCTTTTTAGTTTTCTACTCCTCTCTTGGATAGTTTGGAACAGAAAAAAAAAGCCTAGCCTTACTAACTCAATGATAGTCGACTACATCCTTTTCATCAAGGCCAAGGTCGACCTCGACATTAACAAGAACGAGGTCCAGGCAACGCAGTATGTCAGCGCCGACGAGCTCAAGAAGCTTTTTGAGGACCCGCAGCTCAAGTTCACCCCCTGGTTCAAGCTCATCTGCAACTCGATGCTTTTTCAGTGGTGGGAGAGCCTCGACTCCGGGTTGGAGAAGTACACCAACGAGCAGGAGATTCGCCGCATGTGAGGGTTTCCCGTGGTAGTCTGTGAGACTGGTTGGTCGGAAGGGAGCGAAGCGGATGGAGGCGGCGGCCTGGAAGGTCCAGGGTCGGCCGATCGCGAGAGAGCATTTGACGTGGAGTTCTTTTACTTTCAGCTTTTCTTCTCTCTCTTGCATGTGGCGGCAAAAAGGGACATTATCCGTGTGGTCCCCCTTTTTTCTGATAATATTTTCTATTTCATCCTAGATATCCCCGCCTTTTTGATCACATGAATACGATTTGGGGCGCTGGCTGCTGGCCATGTTGAATGAATACTCGTTGATTCAGAAGACGTGCCTGTCAAAGACGACATGGGGGTATTCAGTCGTTATTCTGAATCGCCAGGGCTGATGGATGCGGGCTTATGATGGACAGTACAGAGTCATCTTAGTTGAAGTTGTACCCAGGGAAGCTACAACGGATCTCCGAGGTCATGAGTCGTCTTCTGGGCGGGCTTTCCCATCGTTGGAATCATTACACGGCGTCAAGTCGGGTCGTTTTCTGAGTAGCGTAGGTATGTGAAGTTCAGGTTTCATGGTGAGGAATTTCCCGATGACGAATACCTACGCAGGGTGTATGTTTGTGTATATACATATCTGTATATGTTTCTCAACGAAGAACAGACTGTATTGTAGAACGACGGAATCCATAATTTCTTTCCCGTCATCCCTGCTCCTCCATAGATTTGTTCTGAGAGACTTTGATCTCTCTCGCAGGTTCAGTCTCCCCCGTACAAGCTCGATCTTTGCCAGCTGTGCCTGCAAGTTTTTGGAAGGCAGCCAAATAGGAGTTGAGGGGCTGGTTTATTGGTAAAGCTCTTGTGCACATCTAGTCTGGTCTGTTATTGAAATTCATCCTCTTTGTAATTATTTAGATATGGACTAAACAACACAGCCCGACAGTCTAGAGCCGCAACAGGTTCGTATCAATTGGATTTTCGGGCCGGTTTGTATGTTGTGATTTGACAATTCCCTTGCTCTGATTGATGGACCTGCTGGAAGATAATCTGCCTGCAACTGGGATTAAAAGGGTTTGATAGGGGTTCGTGGCAGAGTGAATTGGACAGAGGTACACTTTGAAGCTGATTACACGAACCTTCGTCGGGAACATGGTTCGAGACCTCGCAAGATGGGGCATCTCTACGATATTCTGATACCTGTGAGCAAGTGACTCATTGGGACAGTAATTTGTAAGGGCTTCTAAAACTGGACTTGGTTCCGTTCAAACACTCTTCAAAGCTCGATGCTAGATAATCGAAAGGTTCAACTTGGCCGCCCACGAACCCAAGTCGGGAAGCTAGGCTGTTTTTCAACCTCTTTACGCAGTTGTCTTATTTGTTTCAGGCCAAGGATGATCTGAGTAGATCAGGTTGGTAGGAAAGCTAGCAGAAAACAACCATAATGTGAGATGAAGTACTTGCCAGACCACATATACTTCAGATATCCAAGAAAGCTGATCCTTAGGTATCGCGTTGAAGCCTGATTGGATTGTCTAACAGGTGCTGGAAGCTAATCACAGCGTCCGCTTGTGGCCCAGAATTCGCTTCCCTATCATATCTCCTGCTGTAAGGCTTCATTTTTAGTCATGATAGCATGAGTCGTCACAGCTGCAAGATGGGGGAGCAAAATGTCGAGTTTGGCCTGGTGCCACACCCTGTCTATATGGACTTCACAGTCACCAACATGGGCTCCTCGATATGTGCTTGAAGACATGACAAGGAGGGACCGAAAGAGCTTTTGTCGAAGTAGCGTCGGAATGTAGTGTTAAAATGAATGACGATGTGTAGGGAAATGCTTGCAGAACCGAGGCACGTCTGAATGAAGACACCGCAGTGGTCAGCACGAAGACAAGTAACTACATTAACAACATGAGTTCTAGTTTCTTCACAACTTTTCAAGTCAACGATGGAGACAGCAACGGGAGTCCTGTCTACGTCTACTGTAGCAATGGGCAAACAGACTCTGGCCTTCAAAACGCGCCGCCATAGACGAGTAGCGCCATAGGCAATGTGATCAAAACTGGTACTGTTCTAATGTATCGCAGATTGTATTGCAGCATAGCTATGAACTCGCTGCCTGGTGGAGAGACTGAGTGATTGGAGTGAAAGAGGTGAGGACTTTCTTAAAGGAGCACATTAGGAACTACAGGAGTTCAGCATATTAGTGTGTTTTCAAGGCATCTCGTGTTTGTGTTTTCCAGGATGGCTACGATGTTGCTGACAACAGGGTTGGTCCCGGCAGAGGCCTGTAATCCGTACTTTTCTTCAAACCTGCCAAAAGATATGACTTGCACTTTATTACCCTCGCATGCTTGCCTCAACATGCAGGCACGATAAGGTAGGATAGTTCCGCATTTCCAAACTGGCAACTTTCGGCCTTCCGCCGTAAGTCTACATAGTAAGGCATTCCTCAAAGTCAATTTGGACGGACATCTTGCAATACTATGGGTAAGACAGACAGCAACCAACCCTCCATCTCGACCTTGCAGAAGACTTGAAGGCAACCGGGCCCTCCCTGACCGGAAACCCGCACTGCACTTCACCTCCAAGCCATAGATAGCCTACTGGCTCAAGATGGCCGCGGCAGAGCAGGAGACACAAGCGATCTTCCAACGATGAGGGCAACAATAATCGAAGACACAGTGCCCAACCGACCCGACGGGGCAACGATTCAATGATGCTCACTCCTCGTACTTGGCACAGCACGGCATATGCACCCCACGCGCGAAGGATGACGCGGTAGTCAAGCTGGCTTATCGCATTACTCGTTGTTGCAGCTGCACCTCTTATCTCGGCAACATTCCTGACCACTTCCCACGATCGCGAACCCGCAGAGCCTCCCAGGCCCCAAGAGTCTCCGCCTGACAACCACTGCACCACATCCCAGGCATTTGTTTGTTGAGCCAAGCCTGGAATTCGAGCTGAAACCAACTCTCCTGCCCAGACTGGGGACCGCCACGGGACACGGAGCCCGACACAGGGTGCGGTGCATCCGGGCACCGAGTCCGGCAGCGCCGCAGACCCTGGACGGAGCTGATAGGGACGGTGGAACGCCTTGGCCGCATGAAGTTCCACAGCGTACTATGCCGTTGTTGGCATGTCCAGCCGCTGCGATTGGTCAGATGCAGAAGTTATGTGACGGTTGATCCAAAGATACAGGCCGCAGGCTGCCCTCAACTGACGATCCCTAAAATACCTGACCCAACGACAGGGTCTGGCCGGCCTGCCTTTCCCCGCACACCGACTGTCCGCCTCCATTACCTCCTCCCGTCACCCAAGACATGCCTCCGTGAGGATGCGTCGTCCAGCGGCATTCGCTGCTTCTCAACCATTCAACCAGGCCGTCAGTCAGGCCGCTTCTACAAGATCGTCCTCTGCACTAGGGGGCGGCGAACGGCGTTGGTTAGACCTGCATACCCGTACACACCAGGTCGGGATGGCCACCACCAGTCTCGATGCGGCACACAAACACATGCCCAAATATCCACGGCCAACGGCCTGGTCTGTTGCTTGAAAGCTGCAGCCCAGGTCACCCCAGCCCGCCTCCCCCTCATCAGCCTTTACGCTGCTGTCCTCGTGCCCCCTTCTATTACGGCATATCTCGATAGTTTGGGTCCCGTCAACATGGTTTTGGCTAGTGTTGAGGCATGCCAAGTCGGGTATCAAAGATAGCTTGCCCGCATGCTGTGGGTGCAAGCGGCCTGGCTATCGTCTCTACTCCGTGCGTCGTTGATGGTCGATCCGCCGTTCTCGTCGTGTCCAGCTTCTCGCCCTTGTCAAAATCGACAAACATTGTAGAGAATCAGCTACGGCCACCGCAGAGTCTCACAGGCGCGTATTGATCCACTGCCCTGTACCCTTCTGCACCTGTCCTCAACGTCCTACATCCCGCGATTGCTACAGTCTCTCAGCTATCTGCAGGCCCATCCCGCGCGGAAGTACCTCATCTCTCCACAACCTCCACTCCCCCATCATCCCAGCTTGTGGTCTCACTCTTGCTCTCCCTCTCGCTCACTATCTCCTATACTCCTACCTACCCCTGGTGTATCTAGTGACACTCCCCCAGCTACATAACCCCCCAGCTCCTCTCCGCTCCTCAGCTGGTCCCTCTACCGCTCCTCTCCTCTCCTCATCTTATCGTAACACACTTTGGATAGGCTCTCACCAACGACACTGTTTGGCTTCCTACCAAGACAAGGATAAGGATCAAAGTCCTTTCTGCACCGAGAGTTCCTCGTCTCGAAGGCCCCAAGAATAGGGGGGCAGATCTCTGGACAAGATCACAGCCGTGAGCTGTGCTTTGTTGCTAGACTGCTACTCACTGGTCTCGGCCAACATTCAATACCAGCATCCATTCAAATCCCCTCTCTCTCTATCTCTCTCTCTCTCTCTCTCTCTCTCTCTCTCTCCCCCCCCAACGATACTCCTTCAATCACCGTCATCTGACAATCTGCCTGAAAACATCAACCCACCAATATTTTGCCCGTTCATCGCATATCGTGAAGACACTGCTGTCTCCCGCGTCTTGCTGACGACCCCATCCCTCAACTATCGAACTTCAACAAGCCTACCTAGCCAAAGGACGTAACCCGTCAAAATCGTTATTGATGTCGGTTGACCTTCGTACAAGCCTCAATTGCCTTCGCCATCCATCCAGGTTTATGCCCGTGTCGAGAACACAACTCTCGAGAGATCATACGGGTGACAGTATACAGAATTTAAGTACGTTAGGCTTCATCATTACTGAGCGAATTGCCGCCAGAAAGAGGGAGAGAGGGAGAGAATTGCAACACGGCTGACACAACCCTCAAAACAACAGATTCGTGAATAAGACAGGTTCTCCTGTCGAAAAATAAAGCCCGTCATGGAGCACGTAAGCAAAAGCGTCACCCTCGTCGAGCTCAAACGTTCTCTCGTGCCCCCAAAATGGGAGGATACCGTGCGTGTCATTGGCATGTCGGAGTGCAAGGAGGCCGGCCTCTCGCTGGCCCACGCCTTTGCTGCTGATGATCTTAGCCAGTATCTCCTCGACGCCGACGACATGGCGAGCCTATCGGCCGAGTCCAAGTGGAAGCTACACGTCGACATCATGACCTATATCGCGGCCGCCCACTGCCTCAACGGTATCGTTACTACCATTGGCCCGGATCATGATGCCGTTGCTCTGTGGTGAGTTTTGTGTCTTGCTTTCTTTCTGCTTATGCCCGTTGGGCTGCCGTTGGGCAATTTTCTCTCAAGGCACCCCAACACAACCCTGCCCTCTGGGACCTTTTTGCGGTCAAAAAGCAATGTTGGACTAACACTAGACGGGTCGCAATAGGATGCCTCCTGGACAGGACACTGACGGATGGTTGACCATCCTCCGCAGTGGGTTGTGGCGACTCTATTTCCAACTCTCCGTGGAGGCCAGACGTCGTTACTATGACGAGCTCCTACCTCTGCTGCATGACACCAAGCTGGAGGTCATGGGCGAGCGGGACAATGATTGCTACTACCTGGTCTACCTAGGGACCAAGCCCAACGCCCGGGGCAAGGGGTATGCGAGAAAGCTGCTCAACGACATGATCGAAAGGGTAGGTTAAAGACGGCCGCCCGTCCAGTCTACACGCCTGTTGCGTTTTAAAAGACAAGACATGGCCGGGGGACGGGATTGTACCATGGTTCACATCGCAACTAACGTTTGGAACAGGCCGACGCGGAGAACCGCGCCGTCTATCTCGAGTCCAGCTCTCTCTCCAACAACGAGTACTACCGCAAGTTCGGCTTTGAATTTAAGCGCGAGATCCGGATGACTCGTGGAGACACACCCGTCAGCCTCTTCATCATGGTCCGCGAGCCATGCGCGCACAAGCCGGGGGGAGGCCAGACGTACTCGACCGTAGTCTCCAGCAACATCAAGATGCAGATCAATGCCGTGATGATGGAGACGGTGCGGGTCTGATTTGGCGCGGCGGTTTTGGGTTGAGAGAGGTCCTGTCAGTTCATGCTTCAATCCCTCGTTTTGACCTGGAATCGGTGATGTGATGTTGTGTGTTGTGTTCTTTTCTTTCTCCTGAATTATCTTGAGGTGGCGTGGTACTGCTTCTGTTCGGTGGCGGCAGTCCGGCGGCAGCCCTTTTGGACGTTGCTTGCACCCGTGTCTCATGCTGACCACAGTTTGAGGGTTTCAACATTGCCCCGACGGGGCGCGTCTGGTTCAACACCGGCGCAAACGCGCGATAACTCACTGTCCCTACTGCAGCGGCGGTGAAATGTGGTTTTGTCACTTTTACGAATATTTTTGTATTTCCCTGCTTTCAGTTTGCTTGTATCTACCGACTAGCTCTAGCCATTCATTAGAATACTGACCAATTCGCTCATTTCATTCATATCACTAGGGTTGCGGTTCTTCCGCCAATCCCCCCTTTTTTCAACCTAAAATCGTGACCGGATATCAGCCTGATTTGCTGACAATGCATGCCTCAATCCCCGATGAAGCTAATACGAGAGGTTTCTCTGCCTCTGGGAGTTTTCCACCTTCTCACAAATCTACGATTCAGCCGTGTTCCGATTCGGATCCACCCTCCCCCTCCCCTTGCCGGGGCGCCTTTCTATTTGGGTATTTAGTAGTCGAGGATAGCCCATGTCTCGTCGTCGATGGTGGTGTAAATCAGACCCTCAGAGAGCAGCTCCTCCGACGCTTTCATCGTAGCCTGCATGGACAAGCCTGCGCCGCTCGAGATCTGGTTCAGGTGCACGCCCTCGTTGCCGCCAGGGGCGTTGTTGATAAAGTTGAACATCTTTTGCGCGCTCGCCGAGACGCCTCTGAGCTTGGAAGCCTGCGCGGGGTTCCCGCCGCCCGCCGCGGCACCGCCACCGCCGTACCCGTCTCCACCATCGACGAACATGCCGTCCTCACCGCCGCCGCCGTTCGCCCCGGGGCCGCTGCCGTCAGCGTTGAGGGGACCCTTTGTGAAGTAGAGGTGGACGTAGGTGGCCTCGAGGAGGTGGTAGTTGACCTCGTTGAAGTCGGTGACGGGGCGGATGAAGTGGGCGCCGACGTGGCGCTTGCCGTTGAAGGATTTCAGGCGGCCCCAGACGCGGACGTGGCTTTCGAGCTCGAGCTTGTCGTCGGCGTCGTCCTTCTTGTCCGTGTCGACCCACTTCTTGACCTCGATGAGGCCGGTGCCGTCGTCGAGCTTGAGGGTGATGTTTGTGGGCTGCGGGGAGATTTGGCGAATCTGGGCGACAAAGGTGACCTGGGTGACCGTGGCGCCGTCAATCTTGAAGTCGGCGCCCGGGTAGGCCTCCTCGGCGTCGATGACCTGCTTGATTGTAACGGGGCGAAGGGATTCCTCGCTGTAGGCCTTGCCGCCGCCGCCGCCTTGGGAGCCGCCCTGGGAGCCGCCGTAGACGAAGCCGCCTGCGTCGTCGCCGCCTTGGGCGCCGTAGGAGGTTTTCGTGAAGCCACCGTATGAAGCTGTTGGTTCAAGGGTGGTTAGTTGAAATTAGCTGTGGTGGAGGGGGTTGAGAAGAATTGACATACTCATTGTGTCTGTAAAATATCTGAGGAGGATGTCTGTATTGTTCGCGGGGATGTGAGTTGGGCGGGGTGGGTTATCTGGGTAGAAGACGACGGGATGGTGGTGGTAGGTTCGAACTGGTTGGGTGGTTTTGGAAGGGACGCGTCTTTTTGCCTGGCGACGCGACTGGGGGTTTAATTGATTGTGCACGACGAGCAAAATGCCACCCGCCGCCCGCTGTGGAATGTCGGTGCCCCGCGTTGGCACAATGACTGGATGAAAGCTGAGGGTGGGGGGTTTTGACGTTGAAGATGACATAAGCTCGCTCAAGTGGTCTGTGCTGAAGGGCCCCTGTTACCAGGAGCTGACGTGACGGACATCAGCTGTGAATTCGAGAAGGTGCTCGCGTTCAGTTGAGTTGCGACGAGGGCGACCCATGGTGAGTGAGTGAGTGCTTCACTTTACATGGGGTTTAGGGAGTAAAAAAAAGATTTAATGAATTGTATGAGTGTTTACAATTGAGCGCTATGGATGAGCTTCAGATGTCCTGATTATAGATCATTGCATTTTTTCACTAGGTCTTGTTGTTCTCCTAAACAATCTTCCTGGCCCCCAAAGCTTGTCTTTGCTTCCTATTCCGCACGAACCAGAAGACTATATGATGACTGAGTACGCAGATTCAATAAGCCGATCCCTTCAGGTATAAAAAAAAAATTCAATCCATAAGCATTTTCAGATGTCACGAGATCTCCAAGTGAGGGCTTCCACGAGTTTCTCTCCATGTTCGGTGACGGGTATGGCGGTTGTCACTGCTCCGATTAGCCTCGGCTGACCACGATTGCGGAGGGTCCCGCACCAACAGCGCCCCCACACCGGCCTCAACAGTGACTGGATCACTGAACCTGGGCCGCCTGGAGTGCCGCGACCAGGGAGCTCCTCCTCCTCTTCTCCAGACGTTGGTGTGGGCGACCGTTGGCGCCGGCGTTGCTTCTGACATCAACCATCCCAGCACCTCCAAACCCAAATTCTCCTTCTGCCTTCCAATCTTCCATCTGCTTGAGACAACATCCTACCCATCCGAGTTACGCCCATTGGACCAGCAGCTTCTTTCAACTTCTACCACATCTTGATACCTCGACGCTACCCTTTGAAGTATCCATCTTACCAGCCGATATACCCCCGATCATTATCGTCACCGTCGCTAGACGAGGTGCACGTTAATCAACCATCAACCCGCACGTCACACGACATAACCAGAACCGACTCCCACATGGCGCGATCCCAAACGAAAACCCTCCCGGTCATCCCCCTCGCCCGCGGCACCATCCTCCTGCCGGGCGTCGCTCAGCGCATCCCCGTCACCGCCGCTCGTCCCGATATCCCCGCCCTCCTCGCCAACGTCTACACCCGCGCCGCCTCCGCCGCCCTCAACGAGCGCATCGACTCTGTCCCCATCGCCTGCGTCCCCGTCTCCTCCCCCTTTGTCGGCCCCAATGGCCAACTCCTCATCCAGGATGCCGACCAGATGGATGAGTCCCTCATCAAGGAGGTCAACCCGGGCACCGCTCGCAAGTCCGATCTCTACAACTATGGCGTAGCCGCTCGTATCACCGGCATCGAGGGTAGGGGTACCGCCGAGTTTGCTCTACGTGTGGAGGGTATTGCAAGAGTTCGGGTCGAGAAGGTCACGCAAGAGAGGCCGCACTTCGAGGCCAAGGTCAAGTACTTCCATGATGAAGGTTAGACCAGTCCTCTCTCTCATCAAATTACACAAAACTTCAAGCAATCGCTAAACTTTTTCGCAGTCGCAACGGATGCTCAGATGCAAGAACTCTTTTCCCTCCTCAAACTTCGATCTCGAGAACTCGTGACGATTCTTCGCATATCCGCACTGCTCCCCAGAAGCCCAGACAGTCCCGGCGGATTGTCTCCCCTGTTGACAAGGAGACTTGAAATGTTCATCAACAAGAAGGAGCTCAAAGACGCCGGCCAACTAGCCGACTTCATGGCCAACATTGTTGAGGCTTCATACGAGGAGAAACTCGAGGTCCTAGCGGCCCTCGACGTAAAGGTTCGCCTTGCCAAGGTCATCGAGCTACTGGACCGACAAGTCAGCGGGATCAAGAACAACTTCAAAATCACCACGTTCACCAGCGTGCCCGTGCAATTTCTCGACAAGATAAATGAGAAGACATCGCGCCGTGTTGGGCCCAATGGTGCTCCGCTGCCACCCAACACCATGTTTCCTCCAGGCCCCAACGGCGTCATGGGCCCAAATCAAGACGATGATCAGGAGCCCAATGAGCTGGAAGAGCTCAAGAAGAAATTGGACAAGGCCCAGCTCCCGCCCGAGCCCGCTAAGATGGCGCAAAGGGAGTTGAGGAGGCTGAAAAAGATGATGCCCGGCAACCAAGAGTACCAGGTTACTCGCACTTGGCTGGATGTGCTTTCCGAGATTCCTTGGACTGCTACCACCGATGACAGGCTAGGACCTGACACGCTCGCGAGAGCCCGCAAACAGTTGGACGAGGACCACTACGGCTTGGACAAAGTCAAGAAACGCTTGGTTGAGTACCTAGCCGTGCTTAGGCTCAAGCAATCAATCAACGATGACGTCGAGGAGCAGATCAAGAAGGCGGAACAGGAAGCGGCTCCTCCGGCCGAACCTGAGAAGGAAGAGGATGCTGAAAAAGCCAAGAAGGAAGAGGCCGTCGCCGAGTTGGAGGAGCGCGCAAAGGTGGCCAACACCAAGATTGAGGTCCTGCGATCGAAGCGGATGGTTGACCGGTCACCCATCATGCTCTTGGCGGGTCCTCCAGGCGTGGGCAAAACCAGTTTGGCCAGATCTGTCGCCATGGCACTAGGCAGGAAGTTCCATCGAATCTCACTCGGCGGTGTCAGAGACGAAGCTGAGATTCGTGGTCACCGGCGGACGTACGTGGCGGCTATGCCTGGCCTGATTGTTCAGGGGTTGAGAAAGGTCGGCGTGGCAAATCCCGTCTTCCTACTCGATGAGATTGACAAGTTGGGCATGTCCAATGTTCATGGCGACCCGTCGGCAGCTATGCTCGAAGTCTTGGACCCCGAGCAGAACAACTCGTTTACGGACCACTATGTCGGCCTGCCTATTGACTTGAGCAAGGTCTTGTTCATCGCCACGGCCAACAGCCTGGATACCATCCCGGCCCCTCTTCTTGACAGAATGGAGACAATTTATCTGCCGGGGTACACGACGCTCGAGAAACGCCACATTGCCATGCAGCACCTTGTGCCCAAGCAAATCCGGGTCAACGGACTTTCGGACGACCAGGTCAACTTTGATAAGGAAGTTGTGTCCAAGATCATTGAGTCATACACCCGTGAATCAGGGGTTCGCAACCTGGAGCGCGAGATTGGCTCTGTCTGCCGTGCCAAGGCTGTCGAGTTCGCCGAGGCCAAGGACGGAGGACAGCTCCAGACTTACAAATCGCAACTGACAGTCGAGGACATAGAAGAAATCCTGGGGATCGAAAAGTTCGAGGAGGAAATTGCCGAGAAAACAAGCAAGCCTGGTATCGTTACCGGGCTGGTGGCGTACAGCTCGGGCGGCAACGGTAGTATCCTCTTCATTGAGGTTGCCGACATGCCTGGAAACGGCAGCTTGCAGCTTACCGGTAAGCTGGGAGACGTGTTGAAGGAGAGTGTTGAGGTCGCCCTGTCCTGGGTCAAGGCGCACGCGTACGAGCTGGGTCTGACGTCGGAACCGTCCGCGAATATCATGAAGGAGCGGAGCATCCATGTTCATTGCCCTTCGGGCTCGATACCCAAGGATGGTCCCAGCAGTGGTATGGCGCAGGCCATTGCTCTCATTTCCCTATTCTCCGGCAAGCCTGTACCTCCTACAATGGCTATGACGGTATGTCTACCCTGCGTGACGAAATGGAAAACCATCGGAAAACCGACACACTGACACAACATTCTGTACTACAGGGTGAGATATCCTTGCGGGGCCGTGTGACTGCCGTCGGAGGCATCAAAGAGAAGCTCATTGGCGCCCTCAGAGCTGGTGTCAAGACGGTGCTACTCCCCGCGCAGAATCGCAAGGATGTGAAAGATCTCCCCCAGGAGGTCAAGGACGGCTTAGAGATCCTCCACGTCAAGTAAGTCTCTTCCCACCCCCTTCCCCAAGTGTCGTGCTTTTCTGTGTCTCTCTCGCTTCCTGAAGTCGTACCACTCTCTCACAAAGTCGCCCCTTTTCCCACTGGCGCCGTGCTCCCGACGCGGTGATGCCTTTGCCTGCCGCTTGGACCCCTGGTCCTGGAACCGTTCTTCATAGTGTTTCGTGTGACTGACCTTCTTGTCCTACTCCAGTCATGTCTGGGAGGCCATCCGACTTGTCTGGCCTGATTCCCAGTGGCCTGGTGCGGAGTCCTACCCTCCCATCGAGAGCCGATTGTAGATTGGTAAAAAAGGGGGGTATGCGATGCTCCCCGAAGACATGCACGCTGCGAACACTCACTTGTTTGTAATACTCACATCATCACTACCACCATCATTCTTAACCGAGCCAACATCCTCTTACGATTGAGACTGTATGTAACGAAAGGGAAGCGGCATTGCACAGGGTAGTGTGGCCTTCGGTTTGTTCGGCGTTTTTAAGGTGTCTCGGGCGTCGCGCACGGGCGTCCAAGACAGTATTTGTCCCGCCGTGACGTGTATGTCTGTTCATATGCGTGTTGCAGAAATGGTTATATGTATATGTTTCTTGTTGGATCGATCATAGGTTTTACAATGGCATTTGTTTCAAAGACCACTTTTGCCGCGCCTCACACTGTAGCGAATTCGCTCCGACTATCCGTATGCAATGCTTAGGCGAATTCTTTCTTCCACGATGCTTAGTGACGGGGTGCGTGTGCGTGTACCTGTGTGTATATGTGTATGAGTCACTGGACTGGTTGTGCTGGTCCTGGTTATGGGAGTTAGAGTAGGGATAGACTTGGACAAGAAGAACCTCTCTCTCTCTCTGTGAAGCCTGCAGCATCGACGCA